GATGTATCAGAAAGAAGTTACCCAATGATGGAGATGCACCAGAAGTGTGTCTGAATGACAGAGATAAATTCCGCACCACCTCCTTTTACACCGCTGTTGACAAACTTGAAACTGAGATGAGAAGAAGAGATATACACAAAGAAATACCAGAGAGATTTTGTTCTCTAAGTGATGTGCCACATAATGTCACTTCATCGTGTACTGAAACTGAAACATTCTCAGTGTTGTCATAAGCTGATTGATGCTGACCCACAGGACTTGAATACTAATTTCTCAGATGAACTTCAGCAGTTACACTCACGTGTGCGTCATGACTTCAGTGCAGCAAAAAATGTCAAAACAAGATTCAGTCATGTTGAACTTTATAGAATAATTATAGAAGACAATATTGAACATTAATGGTCAATATTGAACATTAATGGTCATTATTGAACATTAATGGTCACAAATTGCTCAGCTGAGCGTTAATTTTCTCATTTGAAGTATATTAAAATTCCCGAGAGAACAACCTTGCAACAAGGCAGCTGGATGCTGTATCTCTACTAAGTATAATTAGTTTTGAGGGTCTGATCAAAGACTTTGCAATTAGTAAAGTTGGAGAAAATCTTAAATATAAATAAAGTGGAAGTATTCAAAAATAAACATTATTTTCCATCTTACTGTAGGTTTTGTTTCATTTAGAAAAAAATAAGATTTTATTTTACGGTTTTATTGTTTATAATTTGAATTAGATATATACAGGGGCATCAAAACTTTAAAGCTTAGGGCCCTAAATTTTAACCGGTCCTGAAAAACATTCATAAAAAAGCAGACTTTTCTTCTGTAGTCAAGGGCGGGGCGGTCGCCCCCGCTATGATAGCTCTTGGGCTCTAGTTCTAGGACCCTAAAAGGTTTAGGCAAATGGACCGACCACTCGCATTGCCATACAAAAAATTTCTACTATTTAACCCGAGACAGGAGTTTCAAGGTGCCTATAATGCAGGGTGCCCAAGTTGTCCTCCTGCTCTTCAGACTTTTCTTCTGATTCACTCCGTCATTCGTGTGACTGTATTTGCTTAGTTCTGGTCCCTGGTATAGGATGCGCCTGCACTTGTAGAAAAGCACACGTTTATCGCAGTGAAGGTTTGGAGGTGCCTATTGGGGATCCCCGGTCCTCCACGCCATGAGCTTCCCCTTCCCACCTCACCTTTCTTGAATGTTTTGCTTTGTCCTGCGAAGTGGTGGAGGGGTTGGTGTAAGAGGCACGGGAGGGAGAGCGGTGTAGGGAGGGTGGGAATGGGGAAAATTCATCGGACCCCACCAGCGCCCGATGGAACGACATTCAACAATATCATGCGAATGTTCATTGTTAAAAAAAATAATCAGGACAGAAAGAATGCTGAGAAAGAGAGACAAGGGTGGGACTAGACAAAAACATGTAAGCCAGACAAGCAGAAAGGAAAGAAAATTTGGAAAGAAAAACTTGTAACGCAAGACAGGGGGATTACGATGGCAAACTAGGACAATAGCCGGGGGCGAATTGGCGGCCCAGCGTGGGTTCAGTAATCCAAGAAATAATGGTGAAGAACAAAAGGGTCCCTACCTAAAAAGTTCCAAGTGTTTAGGTAGAGTTAAAATTATTTTTGAAAACTTGACCAAATACCAAACTTAAAGACTGTAAATTAACGAAAATAAAATAAATTACCTAGCCCCGCGATTGGCCACCGCGAACACGGGCCTTCAGGGGTTCATCAAACAGCGGCCCAATGGTGAATTTGCAAGGTTCCCTCCAAAATTTCTGTAAGTAAATTTTTAAATTAATCAAAACTAAATTGTAAAATAAAATTAAACTAAAGTGTTTGTTGATCAGACCATTTGTTTAATGGGAACATGTTTTTTTTTCCCGCAAAATGTTAAGGGAGTTACCTGTAATTTTACTTAAAAACAGTTATAGCCCGGGGTACAGTAAAAACGCATGTTGTTGAAAATATTAGTATGGAAAATAAAAACGCCCAAATGTGAGTTCCTTTAGGTTTTTGACCAGACCCTTTGTCTGTTTTTAAAGTCCGTTCACAATGGCGGGACCCGGTTGATTGTGGTGGAAACATCCACTTTCCTTACATATTTGTTTTATCAAAGTCCCGGGGAAGTGATTGGTGGTCGAACATCAATTAAATTAAATATTTAGACAACCTCATAAGCCACTCTTGGGTAAATCGTTGGCTTGGGGTTAAAACAAGAAATATTTTCCTATTTTTATTAAATCCATGTCCTTACTATGGCCATATTGAAATCATCAAAAAACCTAAAAGAAATGTTTCGTTATGTAAGGTTTTAAAACACTATTGTGCAATTTTCTTTAATAACAGATCTCTTATGATTTCTACCTTTTCCCAGTAAATTGAGATCAAGGAGAATGATTAGTACAAATAATTCTACACCCCAAATCACATAACCTAATCAGGAAAATCTGTTATGAAACTGAATTGTCCCTTGAAATTCTTTAATTCTCAGTCCAAAATCTAATGGCCATATCAGCCAATACAAAATTAATAATAATAATTAAAAAAAATTGTGCATTGTCTTGATCATGAAAATTTGTATTTGGGGCAAATGATTTAAAATTTTACATCCCAAATCACTCTGAACGTGATGTTGGACGTTTCTTATGCGAGTGGGTCACAGAAAAGAAAGAAGAAAATTCAAGAAGAAGAACAGAAAAAGAAAGATGTAGGAAGCTGCAGAAAGATCACAGACATGCACACGAAAACAGTTTCTGATGTTACAGTACAGTTGAATCTTCAGATACGTCAGATCATACAGGAAGCCCTCCCTCCATTATTTCTCAGCCAGCATCTACTTCTTTTGTGTCTCCTCTCTGTCTCAACGGACATTTCATCCACAGGATTTGTCTTAAAAGATCCTGCCTCATGGCCAAATGTAATCCCAGATTCTCTACGTAATGCTTTCATTGCAGAAAACTTCAGTCAAACTCTGAACATTGACTTTAGGAAATCAGCAAGGATTTATGATGATGGAAGTCGTCGTTGTTTAAAGTCATCTATGTTTTATAGGAAGCTTGCAAATTCAGAAACTGTGAAAAGATCATAGATGGTATACTCTGAAAGCTCAGGAAAAGTGTACTGTTCAGCATGCAAGCTATTTTCTACCAAAGAAAATACCTTCACACAGGGGTTCAATGACTGGAAAAATTCCAAGCGTTTCGAGGAACATGAAAACAGCACCACTCACAGGAGCTGCATTTTAGCCAGTGTATTTCGTACACAGAAAAAAACCTTATTGGATTCTCATTTGGAAAATCAAACTGAAAAAGAGCGCACTTATTGGAGGAAAGTTCTAGAAAGAGTTGTTTGCTGTTGTAAAATTCTTAGCTCTAAGAGGACTTGCTTTCCGTGGAGAAAATGAGGTTTTTGGTTCGGAAAACAATGAAAATTTCCTAGGGATCATAGAACTTATTAGCACAATTCGATCCATTCTTAGCAAATCAAGTGTCACGCCTTGGGAATGCAGGAAGAGGCACTGTATCTTACATGTCATCTACTATATGCAATGAATATTATTGAACTGATGACTAAGAAGGTCCTCAATAACATCATAGCAGCTGTGAAAACTGCAAAATACTTTGCAATAAGTGTAGATTCAAACCAGATATTTCACATACAGATCAATTGACATTCATTGTTCGCTTTGTCGACTCCATGGTAAGCCTGTAGAGCGCTTTAAAAAATTCATTCCTCTTTCAGGCCATGATGGAGAAAACAATGATGAAGTAGTACTGATACTCTGCTTGAACATGATCTCTCTATTATGGATTGCCGTGGCCAGAGCTACGACAATGCAAGTAACATGTCGGGTAAATAAAATGGATTGCAAGCCCGTATCAAGCAAATCAACCCACTTGCTGAAATATTGCCCTGCTCAGCACATTCTCTTAATCTTGTTGGGTCATGTGCTGCGGAGTGTTGTGTCGCTGCAGTTTCATTTTTTGGGCTTTTACAAGCACTCTTTAATTTTTTCTCTGCTTCAACGCATCGGTGGAGTATAAATCAAGTCAACCATTCATGGAGATGTCATCAAATTCATTATCAACAACAAGGTGGTCAGCGCAGCATGATGCAACACATGCTTTGAAAGACAGCTTTGCTGAAATACGTTCTGCTTTGATCCAAATACAGAGGATGAAGACCAGACAGCAACTACAAGAAGCGAAGCAGCCAGCTTAGCATCAAAATTGAAGATTTTGAATTGGCCTTACTCTGTGTGCTTTGGGACTGTATACTGGAACGGTTAAATGCCACGAACAAGACACTTCAGAAAATTGAAATTGAAATGCTACTTGTGCTAACCTCTATGCAG